TTGAGCAGGGCATATCGGAACGGTGGGGCATAACAGTACAATTATGCTTGAAGTCTTGTATCTCAGCTAAAAATTATTTTTTTTTCAAAAAAATTTTTTGATAAAATATTTTAAATTGTTATGCTTTATTATTGTGAAAAAAAAACTAATTTTAAAAATAACAAAATACATTTAAAAACAAAATTTGCTTATTTTCTTATATATATATATATATATATATATATATATATATATATATATATATATATATATATATATATATATATATATATATATATATACATATACATATATACATATATATATATATATATATATACATATATATATATATATATGTATATATATATATATATATATATATATATATATATATATATATATACATATAAATATATATATATATATATATATATATATACATATATATATATATATATATATATATATATATATATATTTTTTCTTAAGCGATACAACGACAAAAGATTTATCTTGAGCTAATGCTAATTTGCTTTATTTTAAAAAAGTTTATACTTTTCAGAGAGTATTTTTTTATCCGCTTTTTGATTCTGCTTAAAAAATAGTGTTGTGACCAAAACTAAAAATTTTAACTAACTAAACTAAAAATACCGTAACTAAAATTAGTTGACTAACTTTTAAGTTAAATTAAATTAGTCGACTAACTTTTTAGTTAACTAAAATTACCCGACTAACTTTTTAGTTAACTAAAATTACCCGACTAACTTTTTAGTTAACTAAAATTACCCGACTAACTTTCTAGTTAACTAAAATTACCCGACTATCTTTTTAGCTAACTTTTTAGTTAACTAAAATCAGTCGACTAACTTTTTATAAAAAGTTAAAAAGCTTTTTAAAAAAAGTTAAACTAACTTTTTATAAAAAGTTAAGTAACTTTTTATAAAAAGTTAGTCGACTGATTTTAGTTAACTAAATTTAGTTAACTAAAATTAACCGACTAAGCTTTTTGTTAACTAAATATACGCGACTTTGTTTTTAGTCCAACTAAAGAATTTTATAAATATATAATATAAATAATTTGGGTTCATGATATCATTTCTATTAGAATTTTTGAATAAAATTGCGAATGCATAATCATTTTATCGCATAATACCGCAAAAATAAAAAAATATCAAAATAATTTTCTTTCAATTTTCAGTTCCAAAGGTTTAGTATCAGTGTATCAAGATACTTCAAGAAAATATTATAAACAAGATACTTAAAGAAAATTTTTCATAAAAAATCCAAAAAGTAAACATAGTAAAACACATATATCTATAGAATTGAATAAGCTACCAAGGCCAACGCAAAGGAGTGTAAGGATGGGTTGGTTGGTTTCGTATGTGACATCCCATCAATGAACTTTTAGCTCATTTAGTAAGCCAATTTGACTCTTTTAGATAAGTAAGTTGGCAAATTTAGATTTTCAGAACAGTCAGTTGGTAAACAAAAACAAGAATTTTTTTTTCCTTTTTCTAGTAAGTAAAATTTTAACAGCACTCTCTGCGTGTTACCTACTTGTGCCGGCCCTGTAAGCTACAGTATATTACAATAATTCGGTTTTATTATGTGCCACTTTTTTTGATCCAAATTATAAAAGTTTTCAATTCTTTGAAAAGTACAAGGGAAAAAAAAATTTTAAATGCGTTAAAGAATTTTTGTCGAAATTTCATTAAACAAAAAAAGTTAGTGATATAATTCTATTTAAAAAGGTGACAAACAAATTAAAAAAATTTAAGTTATCATTTGACGATGAAGATGATATTTCCGGAAACGATAGTGACAAAATAATAAGTTTAGATTTAAAAAGAGAAAATAGTGGTTATATAAAATTGTCAGTAAATGAGCAAAATGTTTTTACACTTTTGGTATCAAAATTAACATGTATATTCAATAATGTATTGTATTTCAACGATTTTATGTACGCCTGCTGCCAGTGCACTAAGTGAACACCTTTTCTCTGAGGCATTAAAAACTTATGCATGCAAAGCGAAACGTATGCAAACTTATATTTACGTATGCAAAGCAAAACAGAATAACAACTGAACGTTTTCAAATATTGATGTTTTTGTCCGAAAATTTGGAATTTTTTAATTTAGTTTAAAATCATTAAATATAATACTGAAGTTTTTTCTTGTAATAAATATTTTTTTAAATATTTATTGTTCTAAAAGAAATATTATTAAATTTAGTATTTGAACTCTTTTGTGTAAAACTGATTTTTTTTTTTTTTTGATACAAAAAATTAAAAAATTAATATAGTTTTTTAAATTTAAATGTGTTAAAAAAAAAAGATAAAGAAAAAATTGAAAATTAAAAAAATTAATGTGTGATTTTAATGCGGTTTTATTATAATGTTGCCTAAAACAGCAAACTTTTTTACCTTTATTATTTTAATAGTTTGTTTGTTTTTTTTAATATTTATTTATATATTCTTTAGTATTTTTTTAAACATCTATCTAATAAAAAAATATAAAAATAAATATAATAAAAAAGTTATTGAATTTTAATTGATAATGCTTAAAAACTACGAATTGCATTTTTTAAGTAATTAAAATGTCATAAACAATTTCCTGGTTTTAAAAGCGATCGCAGTTACTTAATAAGATGTTTTCGTTATTCAACAGTTAAGTATTATTTAATAGATTTTATACACTATTCAACAACTTATATTGCGGATATTGCATTCAAAAATGCAAATACCAATTTTCCTTTTAAATTTTGCAGGTATCGCCAACCGACGAACAACTATACTCTGAAAGCAAAAAAAATAAATTCATAATAACTTATTTAACGATTTCTTTTTGGTTCATGTCAATACTTTCGCCTGCCTTACTATAGTGTTTGCGGGTTGTAATAGCCGTTAGGAGAGGTTGATATTTGAAGAGGTGGGGAGGGGAGTCATAGATTTGTTGTGAAAATTAGAGATTGAATCTATTCCTATAATATAGCAAGGGACAGGGCTGTACTGAACAACGAAGACGTAGGGGAAGGGGGTGCAAATAAAATAAGCTTTTTTACTATAAAAATCTCACCAAAGTAGGGCTTTTTTTTATTTAAAAGCCAAGTTGCAGTTTTAACCGATCAAGTCTCAAATTTTCTAAATTACCGACAAAACCGACAGAATGTTGTAACCCCGGTAAGGTGCCCATACTCACGTCGGTACGGCCTTGGCAGGAGAGATTATTTTTGATTTGCGATTGGTATTGCACACTACCTATAGGAAGCAGCGCATAAAAAATATAAGTTAAACGTTCAATAAGCGTACCAAATTTAATATAATTGACTAAAGGGCATTATTTGTATATTCCATACTGATTGGGTGTTTATAAACAGTTGCAACAACTTCATAGGCAGTTGTCTCAGAGCTGGGAAAAAATTAAAATAATCGAATTTTGCTTAAAACATTTCTTTTAAATAACAGTTTAGTTCGACTGGGCTCTAAGATTCACAACTAGTAAAGTGTTTAATTACGATAAAATAATATTTATCGCCTTAATAATGCTTCCTCGTGTGTAAAATTTTTATACGAAAGATTATTTTAATTTAGTCGACTAAATTTAGTTACACTAAATATTTAGTCGACTAAATTTAGTTACACTAAATATTTAGTCGACTAATTTGAGTTAACTAAAAAGTTAGTCGACTAATTTTAGTTAGACTAAAATATTTGTCGCTTAATTTTAGTTAGCTAAAAAGTTAGTCGGGTAATTTTAGTTAGCTAGAAAGTTAGTCGGGTAATTTTAGTTAGCTAGAAAGTTAGTCGGGTAATTTTAGTTAACTAGAAAGTTAGTCGCGTAATTTTAGTTAACTAAAAAGTTAGTCGGGTAATTTTAGTTAACTAAAAAGTAAGTCGCGTAATTTTAGTTAACTAATAAGTTAGTCGACTAATTTTAGTTAACTAAAAAGTTAGTTAACTAATTTTAGTTAGACTAAAAATTTAGTTAAATATTTTTAGTTAGACTAAAACTAACCTTAACTCCCACCCCTATTAAAAAATATATGTATTTTAACTTTTTGAATAGTATTAACCCAACGGGCATTCGAACATTTAATCAACGTTTAGTTAATGTTCGTTCTAAATGTTTAGATTTAATTTAGTTTCGATTTAGAACGTAGGTCAATCGAATGATCTATTTAAACCATATCTAAATGGTTCGTTTTAAAGGCTATTTAAACTCCGTCTAAATCTTTCGTTTAAAACTTCGTGACGTTAAATTTTATTTTACGGCGCTTATTTAAAGAAGCTTAAATAAATAAAAAATACCGATAAACGAATCAAGCTCATCTTTTATTTAAGCTGCTTTAAATAAGCACCGTAAAGAAAAGTTAAACGCTGAACGCAGTATCTAAATACTTATAAACAAATCCAAAATTAAACAAATAATTTTTTATTTAAATAAGTTTAATATACAAGTAAAATCATTTTATTTATTATTATATGCATTATCGTATTCCTCATTATGATCGGCTCCATAATCATCATTGTCATCTTTGTTTGAACCGATTAAGCCTCTTCGTTTTAAGAATTGGAAAAAAGGACATAACCTTTCCTATTTCCACCTATACGGAAGTGAGCCATTCTAAGATGGGAATCAATGCACGATACCGTATTGCGGATACCGAAGTCATACAATCTCTTGAATAACTATTGTAATAATTGATAGAGAACTTTTCTTTAAAACTCTGTAAAATATATAATATTTATATAATAAAAAACCTTATTAAAAAAACTTGTAGTTATCGCAGTTATGGGTTGATAAGTTGCATAACTGCAAGACAACTGCAGTGCCCTTCCTAAACATAGTAATACAATATTATATAGTATTCTATTACTTTATAACAATATCTGTACAACATATAAATATATATATATATATATATATATATATATATATATATATATATATATATATTCATATATATATATATATATATATATATATATATATATATATATATATATATATATATATATATATATATATATATATATATATATATCATATATATATATATATATATATATATATATATATATATATATATATATATATATATATATATATATATATATATATATATATATATATATATATATATATGTATATATATATATATATATATATACTCTCTGAAAAGTATAAACTTTTTTAAAATAAAGCAAATTAGCATTAGCTCAAGATAAATCTTTTGTCGTTGTATCGCTTAAGAAAATATATATATATATATATATATATATATATATATATATATATATATATATATATATATATATATATATATATATATGTATATATATATATATATATATATATATATATATATATATATATATTTATATGTATATATATATGTATATATATATATATATATATATATATATATATATATATATATATATATATATATATACATATATATATATATATATATATATATGTATATATATATATATATATATGTATATATGTATATGTATATATATATATATATATATATATATATATATATATATATATATATATATATATATATATATATATATATATATATATAATATATGTATATATATATATATATAATATATATATATTTATATGTATATATATATATATATATATATATATATATATATATATATATATATATATATACATATATATATATATGTATATATATATATATGTATATATGTATATGTATATATATATATATATATATATATATATATATATATATATATATATATATATATATATATATATATATATATATATATATATATATATATATATATATATACAGGATACTGAGTGTGCCTACTGCTCCTCAAGACAATGAATAATATGAATTATCAAACTATATATATATATGTATATATATATATATATATATATATATATATATATATATATATATATATATATATATATATATATATATATATATATATATATATATATATATATATATAGTTTGATAATTCATATTATTCATTGTCTTGAGGAGCAGTAGGCACACTCAGTATCCTGTTTGATTAAAACTTTCTATTTAATTGAAAAGTTGTGGAGATACCGACAATTTCACTACAATATAAATATGTAAAAATAAAATTATAATTCTTAAAATCTTTAAAGTTAAAAACTAAACAAACATAATAATTAAAACTTATATATCAAATTCATATACGTACTAACACGCAACTCAAGGTAAAAATTAAGTATTACTTGATCAATCCATTAGTTTGTGCTTTGATATAGTAGTTATGTGGATAATGGTATTTTAGAACTCAAATTTCGGGCTTACAGAAAAGAAGACTTTGCAAGTACTGATGGGTTAGCTACAATGTAAATAACTATATAGATGTATTATGTATACAAAGTTATTTTAAATAAAGATTTACTAAAACATTGTAAATTTGATTTTAAAAAGTCTATCCTAAAAGGCTTACATTGCTAAATATGTTCATAAGTCATAAAATTAACAGGTTTATCTAAAAGTAAAGGAGTTCTATATAAAAGATATAAATATAGACATCTTACTTGATTGGTCCATTCTACAGTCTTTTGGTATAGTAGTCACACTTGATTTGAATAAAGATAACTTAGAATGCAATTGAATGCTTAAGATAAGGTGGCTGTGGAGGTGGTGATGGTTTAACTAAAATGTAAATCCGAGTGTATATTGTTTGAGATATGTTCAATACAACTATTATTAGTCTTCAAAGATGTAAAGTACATACATACTTACTTACATAATCAATTGAATATAATTGCGGTACCACATAAAAAATCTTTTTGTATAATTAAACATTAGTAACTTTTTTTTATACTTGAATGCATCCATGCTATATTATAATATAGCATGCATCAATAATGCATGCAAGTATTTTTGGAACTAAGGTCTTCACAAACTTTATTTCATGTTCATTGTAACATCAAATTAGCTAACCTGACAATATTCGTACCTTTTGCATTAACATTCCACATAAAATTCTTCCTCAACTGAAAAATAAAAACTATTTTACTATACCATAAAAATGGTTAATCATTTACTAATTAAAACTTGCTTCTTTATTTTTTACATAAAAATTAGAACAAACTAAATAAAACTATTATTTTAGAATATATATATATATATATATATATATATATATATATATAAAATATTATTTGCTTTAACAAGCGATTTATTTGATTATGTTATTATTTTCAGCTTATATATTATTAGTTTCTATATAAACATTAACAAATTAAAATGAAACCTTTAAAAGAGTTGTATAATCAGTACTTTTGCGCTTTTTTGTTATCTGCTAATTATCAATTCCTTCTTCAGTTTCTGATATTTAAAACTTTTGCAATCCTCTTTGTCTGTAAAAGGAATAACAAAACATCTTATCCAAAGCAATGACAAATAAATTTAAAAAGTAAATTATTAAACTTTTTGTGAATAAAAATTATATCACAAACTAAAATAACAATTCAAAAAAATATCGAGGTTTTGGTTCTTCCAACCAAACAGCCTGGCAATATGACATTTTTCTAAAATGTTAACACTAATTTGGTTGAAGGTATATCAACACATAACATTAATTTGTAAGTAAACTTGTTAAAAATGTTTTGAATAAGTTTAGTCGTCTAGTTTTTTAGCTTTTTTTGGTAACTTTAGTTTTCCTAATTCCAAGGGATGATATACATATACATACTATATATTTCAACCAGTAAAATTTCAAGCTTGGTAGGTCTTTCATAACATAATAAAATAAATGAAAAATAATGCAATAAGTATTACAATAGCTTTTAGATATAGAGCATAAGATAAAAACAGAACAATTTGAATTCTCTTTTAATATAAATTTAAACTTTAAAGACTTGAACCAATCATCAACGTACCTTTCAAATATAACAGGAATTACCTTTTATCTTACATTATTTTTAAGCGTTGAGTTTTTATAAATAACTTTTCATAAGCTTGAGCAATTAGATAATGGTTTAAAAGGTAAACATCTGACAGATGTTTAACTATTAGAATCATGTCTAAAAGAACAGAATTTGCAGTTTATCTTGTGATTACTAAAAAAATAACAATTAGTTTTAAAAATCACTGCAGTTTTTTATTTACAGAATGATCTTCACAGAATTAGCCATTAACTTAATTGTTATTTTAGGAAAATTTAAACTTTAAAGGAGTAAAAACGTCACAAAAAATCAATTTACCACTTGCATGTGTACTTGGTTGTTTCCTGCTGCTTTAATTGTTGTTGCAACTGACTGGACTGTATATAAAATCTTAAATAAAATTAAACACACAAAACTTAATTAACAATAAAAAGTATATTATATATATACTATATATAATATATTTAAAAATAAAAAATATATTATATATATTATATATATTATTGTTCAAGCCATGTTAATTTTTCTACTAAATAGAAAATAAATGATACAATATAATAATCTATCATATCAGACATAAGTAAATTTATTTTCTCTTAAGTGGTTATCATATAGGAGTATGAATAATACTTAAATTTTTAAAAATATTTTTTAGTTTAAACTAAAAGCCTACACTAAAACTAAAGCTCCATTATATAAATATTTGAACCTCACAATTTTTGATTGGCACTGTCTGCACTAAAAGTATAAATATTATAACATTGCTATTCGATCAATATAACATCTATCATAATTTATGAAAGATGTTATATTGATCTGTTTATGAAATAAACAAATAGATGTTAGGTCTTAATGTAAACAAAAATAATAATTTTGCTTAGTTATTTAAAAAGTAGTTACCATTTAAAATGCATAATTTTTCTCTAAAACTTTTAGAAAAAATTAATGCATTTTAAGTGGTAATTATTTTTCATAATTTTTCTACTTTTAGTAAAAGTAGAAAAATTAGGAAGCTAAGAGTTAACTATAGACGTTCTATAGTGTTGTTAAAAACCATACAGAAAAAAAAATTTAAGAAATAATTTTAAAAAATGCTGAAACTGATACATTTTTGAAACTGCTGCTACTTTTTTGAAACTGCTATATTAATAGCAATAACTAAAAGAATTATCAAAATACATAGTTACTGTACTTAAAATTACTTTTAATCGCTTATACAACATTATCGAAGAACTTACGGGACTTTTTAGCGCTTTATTAGCCACAATATAATACTAAAAACAAATTTTCTTTTATCTTTTCTAAACCATTTATTACATAATTTAAGATTCATAAGAAATTCTAATTTTTAATCATAATGAAATATTCAAAATGTCCGACACATTTTGTGCGAAACTAATTTAATTAAGTTAGTTCCGTACGGAAATCGTTTGATTTAGCTTTTCAACGCAAATTAAATATTCAGAACACGTTTAGATTTGGTTCCTAAGCGTTTAGATCAACGTAAATGCCATCTAAACGTGATTTAAACCAATTTTAAACCAACAAATGCCCGTTGGGAATTTCAGTAAAATAACTTTTGAGGGGGGGGGGGGTATCGGGACAACAAGTTATTTATATAATTGGCTATATTACTACCATTTTGTAATGCTGTTTACAGTTTGATGGTTTTATTTTTAGAAAAGCAATATAAGTAATAGATTTTACATATTAGTAATAGATCATAAGAAATTCTTATTTTTATAACTTAATATGAAAAAAACTTTTTAAATTTCTGGCTCACGTCGATAGATTATAAGTAAACACCAGTCTATAAACTAGCTTAGGAATTGAATTGCGAAATTCAAGCAATGATTGATGCTATAAATAAATTAAAACATATCAAAATAAGTCAAATAAATTCATAAATACAGGCATTATAAAAATTGGGTTTCAAATATAATGTTATATACAATAATAAAAAATTTTTCTTATATTTGATTAAACACTTTGTTGTATATATACACACACATGTTTGTAATAATAAACTTAAACCTTTTTAGTAAACTTTATCATACTTTTTTGTATTAATTTTAACTAGGAGTAAATTTAATGAATAATATTTTTGGTTCATTACAATACCTTCTATTTTTTTCTTAATTCATAATAAAGTATGCTATCAAAACATTTTCTGCACTTTCTGATTCACACAAAACTTGTATTTCAACTGTATCTTGCAGAAGAGCAATTTTTCAACCTGCTAATTTTTCAACCTGCTAATAATGCTATTCAAAAAACATGATTGGACATACTTAAAATGCATTTGTCAAGTTCTGCTTTACCAATAATTTTACTATTTAATGAAAATTCTCAAGTTTTAAACATTCATCATCTAAAATAATAAAACATTTCAAGTAGATTTGCATTCGATTGATAGACGTTTTACCAAATTAATTGGAGCTTTGAAAACGTTGTTATCTCTATTTTTGTTTGTTTTAACGTTGTTTTCTCTATTCTTATACCTGACACTTTTTTAGAATGTACAGATTGTTTTGTTTGTTTTTTTAAAAAAATAAATTTTGTTGGCTGTTTTGAAGACAGTTGCGATATATGTATTTCTCAATCACAATCTAATAAAATACTTTACACACAAAAAATACACAAAAGTAATTGTATTTTAGATATATAAAATGAATAAAGAAAATTTTAGTCAAGACAAAGTGGAAGAAAATAAAAAATTAATCTACAACAACTTATTTTTGTTGGAATTATCAAGAGAAATAGGAAGTGATTGGAAAAGATGTGGAAGATTTTTAAACGTCAAAGAAGGAGATCTTGAACTCATTGAAAATGATTACGATAAAACTATTAATCGATGTTTTGAAATGTTTAAAATAAGCGTATATCAAAACAATTTAACAATGGATCAATTGTTTCAAGTTTTGGAAAGTTTACCACGTAAAGAAACATTTAAAAAAAATATTATTAACATTATTTATTTTGTAAAAAAAAATTTTTATATTTTTTCTAATAAAAAAAAAATTTTAGTCATAAAAAAAATTGTAGTTATATTTTTTTATTAATATAAAAAAATAGAAGAAAAAATTGAAACTAATCCTGTGGAAAATGAACCTCCTAAAAATGAAAAAAAAGATTCGAGAACGTTAACAGAAATATTAAACGAAAAAGGATTTCACAGTTTTTATTTAAAAGGTAAAAATGAAGAACCTGAAATTAAAGACGATGTTTTACCAACGCCAATCAAATTTAATATTTTTAAACCTTCGAAAGATGTTTATCCTGAAAACACTATTATTACAGGGCCTACAAGTAGCGGAAAATCAACTATGGCACGCGAACTTTTACAATATGGCAAATATCCGGATGCAGAAATGTTATTCGTTATTCAAATGAGAGAACCTAGCGAATCTCAACACAAAACGTGGCGTGATATTATTAATTCTAATAAAAACAATTTAGAAGCTTATGACATTATAACAGTTGACAGCTCTGAAAATTTAGACCCTGTTATACAACGCGCTATCAGTTTTTCTAAAGACAAATACGGTATTCAAAACAGTGATCATCAAAAATATTTAAAAACGATTTTCCTTCTGCTGGCAAAATGCATCACGTCATTAGCGATTTACTCAACAAAGAAACTTCTAGTCAACATGGTCATATAGCATTATTTAAAAGAAATTGTTCTGTTGCTAGGTTAAGAACTCAAATTACCAATCCCAAAGCACAAAAAGTGTTTATACCTGTTGACGCTCAAGGAAAATTAGATTTTGATTACAACGAAATGAGCGTGAACCAAAAAATTGTTACTTTTCAATCATTTCCTTACGTTAAAGCACAAAATTGTAAAAATTATTATTATCTTAAATCTCATCACAAATTTTCTCAAGAAAAAGAGAAGGAGAATCAACAAATTAACAACGACGATTAAGAAAACGCATGCGTAGTAAATTTGGTCCATTATTAGCAATAGGAGCTATGCTAGGAAGTTCTCTTTTAGGAGGTATGCGATAATAATTCAAAAGTAAATATGCATAAAAAACGAATTTTTAAAAAAAGACGTTCTAAAAGACGATACAAAAAACGGATACGTGGTATATATAAGTCTGCAATAGGAGCAATTGCTTCAAAACTTTTACCAAGACTTTTACCTGTAGTAGGAAGAGCTGCTTTGGGTGGTTTAGTTTCGGGAGGAATATCTTATGGAATCAATCAAGCTGGAAAATAAAAAAACATTTCTTTGTATCATTTTAATTTATTAAATATTGTATTACAACCGTATACATGTTCGTGTTTTAAATTAAATTTTTCGTAACCCTTATAATAATTAATAAAATTTTCCAAGCGTTTTAATAATACTACTAAACGTTTGTTATGTATATCAAATTTCCATATGATAAACAATTCCAAACTCGTTTGTTTCTCGTTATAACCCGGAGTATCAATAACAATAATATAAAAATATTTTTTTCGTATACACGTTAATCTAAAACAAAATTCATAAAGTTCTTTTAAATTTGTAAAGTTTGTTATTTCTACAATACAATCTAACTCCTCCATCATTTCTTCGATTGATTTATATTTTCTTTTTTCAGTATTATTTAATACTTCTCTACAAATCTTCTCCAATTCGTAAAGGTGCATATTCATTTATTTTGATTATAAGCATACAAACAATATAATGAAGTGTTCCAAAAATAAGAAATAATATCACTAATAATATCATTAATAATATCTGCAACGGAAACACCAAAACGTGTAACAACAATTTTTCAATCTTTCCAGATTTTAAATAATTATATGTTTTTAATGCACTAGATTTAACAAAATTTACAACAGGTTGAAAAAACTTACATATTCGTATACCACTTTTTTAAATAAAATTTAAAGCATCCATTTAAAAATGTAAAAAAGAACTTCTATGAACGATATGTATGATTTCCGTTTCTATTGCCTATATATATATATTTGGTTTTACTTCTTCTGGCTTGTACGGTTTTACAACTACAACAGGTATTGCTTTATCGAACTGTTGTAATGGTTTGTTCTTTGATTCTATCTGATTTATATAACAAAAAAAATGGTTTCTTATATATATTTTTTTTATAACGCTACACCTTTTCAAGATGTAAATGAGAACATGAAAGTTGTAATTAAGAAGTCGTAATATGTAATTAAAAAACACAACATGTAATTGAGAAAACGTTATATGTAATTGAGAAACACAACATGTAAATAAGAAGTCGTAACATGTAATTAAGAAACACAACATGTAATTGAGAAAACGTTAGATATAATTGAGAAACCATAATATGTAATTGAGAAATTGAGAAACTTGTAATTGAGAACACATAAATTAAAATAGCAAATTCACAGTCTAAGTTTGTAGGTTGTTACAAAAGGTCTTTTTGGACATGAATTTAAGTTATAATCTTAAATTTTGCTTTTGTATGCACAAGTAATAATAATGGAATTGAAAGATCGTTGTGTTATATGCCAATACACTATTTGTTTACGTCCAGTTCTGGAACAACCAGATTCAAGTTGTCCGATTTGTCGGCATGAAATACACACAACCGAACAAGTTGAAAGGAAACGTTACGTTTCATCTTCTCCAAATGACAGGAGAAGAGTTGTTGAATGTGCGGAGCGATTTGAAGATTGGGTGAATCTCGCGCAAACGCTAGGTATCAAATATAAGACAGCATACAATTGGGTTCGCAATTCAAATTTCATCGGAAAAGGAGGTTTTAAACCGAAAAAGTTGACCAAAGATCAAATCGAAGAAACATTAACATGGATTGAAAATGATTGTCAATTAACATTGGTGGCCATCAAAACAAAGATATTAAGACAATTTAACATAAACGTTAGCACAACAACAATAGCAAATTACCTCGAAGGCAGATTGTTCTCATTAAAAAAAGTGCACAAGGAGCCTTCTACAATGAACAGTTATGAAAACAAACAAAAAAGAGCTGAATATGTTAGAAACATCAACGAACATATCACAAATGGTCGTCAGATAGTATGGTTGGATGAAACAAATTTTAACCTTTTTGTAGAAAAACGCAAGGACGCGCGAGACGAGGAAAAAGAGCAGTTATGAAAGTACCTGCTTCAAAAGGTTTAAACATACACTTGATCGCAGCTATTTCAACTACAAATGTCGTCATGATAGAAACTCGCAGGGGATCATTTAAAGCAGATTCCTGTAACAAGTGGATGTTGGCTATGTTTCACCAGTGGGTTACATCCGGGAATCGTTTGGAGGATTTGGTCGTCGTAACAGATAATGCTCTTTGTCACGCTCGTTTGCAAAGGGTGTTTGATAATTCACCAGCTCAGTTGTTACGTTTGGGACCTTACAGTCCAATGTTGAACCCGGTGGAAACGATCTGGTCCAAAATTAAAAGTAACGTTAAAAATGCAATTCGCATTCCTCCTGTATTAGGTGACGGG